GGAGTGAACCAATGGGTCCCATCTGCGGACTTCATCTATACTTGGTAAAAATAATAGGTCATGCAAAGTTTGGTTCAAATCGGGCATTTGGTTCAAAGAAACATGGGGTCTAAAACTAATATTTCGATGAGGTACATTTTCACCGTATCCAAGTGTATATACCCTCATTAGCTATAAGGCTGAGGGTATAATCAAAGCTGTGCTCAGGATTTAAGGCGTTTATTTTTTAGGGAACTTTTGTAAGACAGTTCTGAGGTGAATTTTTAAGGCCTTTCTGAGGCTCTAAGTCCTGATCTTTAAGGAATTTGCCTAAAGCTGTGCTGAGTTCCTATGGTAGAGATTTTTAAAAGAATTTTCCAAGACAGTTCTGAGGCCTTAGCGCATGGATGTACAAGTGTTTTTTTATATATTAAGAAATTTTTCTAAGACCGTGTTGTCGCTTTAAGGTGCGGATGTGTTGAGGCCCAATATCGTAGATTTTTTGAGGCCTTAGCGCATGGATGTACAAGTGTTTTTTTATATATTAAGAAATTTTTCTAAGACCGTGTTGTCGCTTTAAGGTGTGGATGTGTTGAGGCCCAATATCGTAGATTTTTTGAGAATTTTTGTTTGCATCCTCAGCCTGGACCTCTCTTCAAATTGCGACGAGCTGTGTTTAACCTTTATGAAGAGACCAGAATGCTGTTAGTCAACCAATATTTTGTGTTGTTAGCTATGCAGTTCCATTTACCGTGTTAACCATCCCACTATGATTGCCGCTCCATCTACGTCACAGATCGGACGATAACAGATCGTCGATAGCGAATCCCATAAAAGCTATGCAATAAAGTCCTAAACAAATAACCTCCTGCAATTTCGGATAGTGGAAGAGTTCTTTTTAGGCAAACACGTTTCATTCTGTCAGAACAAAAGTAGGGATATATCATCGTTCTAAATTCATGTCGAGTCCCAAATATGTATCCTTCCTAGAAATCCCTCACGACACATTCATTAATTTGTATTGCCCCTAAGAACCCTGAAATATTCATTCCACATGACTGAAGTCAATAAAGTGGGTAAAATGTTTCGTTTACCTTTTCCCAATTAAATTCATACATTGAATTAACATTAAAAGTAGTTCAGCTAATACCTCAGTGTCATATAGGTCACTATAAGAGGACATGACTGACTATTTAATTTACCATTACCTATCGAAGGATTTTTGCTCCCTGTGTTATGCAAACTGTGAACGTGCCGGATAGAATTCTATCCGGCACCTCAGCAATTTATGATTAAAATTCGGAATAGCTGTATATTTGTGTAGAAAATATATAGGAGAACCTTAAGCAACACTGCCCTGTAATTTAATAAGTTCATTTCGTTCTTAAATAAAAATTATAGCCTTTCAACATAATCTGTCTAATAGAATCTCCCCTTAACTACCACTGAAAAGAAATACCAATATTTAATTCATTTAATAACATTTATTTACGCTAGACTCAAAATTATAACGCTTAAGTTAATTTTATCTTATCACACGCCATGATGAAAATAATGGTTACACCTTGGGTTACACATTACACATCCTTCGAGTTTGTCGAAACTAAATTACAATGTCACAATTTTACTTCGCCTCAGTTGTGGCACCCTTATCTTTGCCATTTAATTTTTCTTCCAATTTTTGAAATTCTTTATCGGCAATTTTATCCGATTCATCAAAAACCTGTTCCACACCCTGTACTTCGGGTATATAGAATTGCAACATATTTTCAACGCCATTCTTTAGAGTGACAATAGAACTGGGACAAGATGAACAGGAACCTTGCATTTTCAATTTGACAATACCATCTTCAAAACCCATAAAAATGATATCACCACCATCTTCTTGTACGGTGGGTCTAATGCGACTATCCAGCAATTCCTTGATCATCATTACTGTATCATCATCTTCATCGTTAATTTGGGTGTCTGCATTGGGTTTGGCTTCATTCAAGATGGGTAAACCGCTGGCAAAGAAATCCATTATGACAGCAAAGACTTCTGGTTTAATTATTGCCCATTCGGCTTCCTCATCCTTGGAAATTGTTATAAAGTCACCGCCAAAGAATACGGAACGTACACCCTCAATGCGAAACAAAAGTTTGGCTGAAATGAAAAGAAAATAATTATTAAAGTTATTCTAATAATTTCCCTATAGTACACTTACCCAATGGACTGCAGTATGCAGCCGATACACCAGGGAAATCATATGTATTGCCTTTACCCAAGACATCCACGCCTGGTAGAAATTTCAAGCTATCTGGATTTGGGGTATCTTGTGTCTGTATAAACATGCTACGTTGACATTGTTGCAGAAGTTTTCCAACCGTCTGCCTGGTCTCCAAAAGCGGTGTGTTACTCTGAGATTGTTGTACTTTCCAGCCATTTTGCATCAATCCCCTCTTTTGCATAACATCTCTATATTCAAGGGGGGAAAGTGATTTGTTATTATTTAGGCCATATTTTATTTTTGAATATTTCATACCTGATTACCAGTTTATTGGCGTTATTTGTAATATTACGTGAATTTCGAATTGCGTTCAAAATTATTCTAGACATTTTCGTTTTGGTCGGTGTTCTATATGTTCTGTGTGCTGCCAAAAAATTAACCTTTATTTTGGTGTAAACATTGACAGGGTTGTATTGCAAACTACATGTATAACAGCACTGAACATACCACATGAAGGCGAACTAATATTAGGTTCGTTCGTTTACTCAATAATTTGTACGAATTTGTACAAATTATTACAAAATGTTGTTCGTTTACCCAAAAGTCCAGTAAAAGAGAGTGAATTGAGAGAGCAGATTTGACAGTTGTGTTACTGAGTATTTGCAAATTCTTACAAGGAAAATTTACTCAGTAAGAATTTTCTTGTACCATCAGCTGATATTTAATCAGCTGTTTTGTTATGTTTTGTAAACAAACAAAAAATTGTTCTCAAGAAAATTGATTGTTTTTTGAATTTTATTTTGATTTTGTATCATTAAATACCAAAATGGATGAAGAAAACGCAAGTATTTAAAAATAAGGTAATACAAGAGTAATTGGCGAACGATTTTTTAGGTTCCAAATCCAAACAAAAAAGTGTGCATCCCTAACATGTCTGGAACACCATCACAATCCTTTTAAATGTTTGTGGGGAACAAACAACATCAATTTTGCGCTTGTTATCCATTTTTCTAATAAAAATGCTGTTTTTAGTTTGCGCCAATTTGTTTCTTGTTTTAATCAGCTGTGTCGAAACAATCTTCTTACTGGATGTTGTTCGTTTACTTTTTGCAGTTTTCTCTCTTGAGAAGGAAAAATTCGTATTTACTCTCTGCAAATTCTTACTGAGTAAATATTACTGGAAAAGTAAACGAACGAAGCTATTGTATCAGCTGTTTTCTATCAAAAAGCCAGAGTCATAGGAAAAGTGGTCACGGGGTAACATATTATTGTTCTGAATCCTTACCCAAAAAGTTTTAAATCTGTACGGGTTTATAAAGGGAAAATCGAAAACAGTTTCGATCGAATGAAGATTCTTGCATGATCGGGAACAGAACATATGTCAGACTTTTTTGGAGGTTCTCCCTTTCAGCTGTTTTCTATCATAAAACCATAGCAAAATTCCTGTCGGGTAGTAAAATTTTTCGACTTTATAAAGAAAAGAATTACGTCTCTATTTTCAAAATGGGAAATAAATAAATTATAACATTGCCGTCCTTTTGAGGCGGGCATTAAAAAAACATTCCATCGAGTGTCAACAGATCGTCGATAGTGAATGCGATGAAATCTTTGCATTAACAGGTGTTTGCCACAATGTCAAAGAGAGGACAGGTCATTAGGATATTAATGTGTTGTTAATTAGGCAGCTCCTATTGGCATGCTATCTGCCGTGTCATTCCAACCATCACTCAGGCATCCAAAACGTTATTCCATCGGACGTCGAAAGATCATCGAAAGCAAACGAGATGAAGTCTGTGCATCAACAGGCGAAGCCATAAATGGCAAAGATTCAAAAAAGTCAGAGAGAGGACAGTGAGAGACTTCTTCCTTTGCAAACATCTTTAGATTATGGCACAATTAAGACCCAAGTATAGCAATAGATTCAATTTGTATCGAGGGCTCATTGTCCCCGGAAGCATAAATAAGCATCCCTATTGACAGCAAAGCCTTCACGATGCACACCAACTATTCAATTGTCCTTCCGAGCCAACAAATCTACTGTCGTGTAAACGTTGAGACTTTTTAGGAAAGCTAACTGAAGCTATGGATCCATATAACCCATTTTGTGAGGGGTTATAGTCTTGAAAAAAAAAATGTTACAATGTGAAATTATTATATCAATTGGAATACCTCTATCGCAAATAAATTCACATTTCTTGTTATGTCCAAACATAGAACATTTTGAAGGCATGTATTCGGAAGATGTGTCTAGAGGTCTACGTTGCCCCATGTCAATCCTCACCGTGGTATCAATTTTAGCTTCTTCCTCTACCCCTGATTTTAAAATATTGCACCGGGTCTTGGTATGTTCCCGTACTGCAAGAATCTACTATTTTTTACTCCGATAACACTTTTTTCCTTTATGATATCGAAGAAAATAGTAAAATCGAGTAGATTCTTGCAGTACGGAAACAGACCATCTGTTTACCCTATAAACCGAACTGTCAAATGCGAACTTTCACAACCATTCGTTCACTGAACATACCCCACTCGTTGAAATGAAAAGTCAATTTAGTGACATTTCGACCGCCAAAAATAAAATGTAAATAAAAGAATAGACAAAAAGAAAAAATCCCCTCTCTCCCCTTTGATACAAAAATTTTGACGCCACTGTCCCTTAAACTTCACTGACAACTAATAAATTTCTCAACTATTCGTTCACTGAACATACTCCACTTGTTGAAATCAAAAGTCAGTTCAATGACATTTTCGACCCCCCAAACAAAAACAACAAAATGTAAATAAAAGACTAGACATGAAAAGATAAACTATATATGCGGAATTCGGAAAATACTTTTAAAAGAAAAACTAAAAGAAAATTAACAAAATAAAGATGAGTGAACCGCAGACAACAATTACAGATGATAAAAAACACAGAATACAAGGTATGTGAGTGGGTACACAAAAGAAACAACGGTTACTTGTGCATGCTGCAACAAAGTGAGATTTGATTACAAAACAATATAAAATTGCGCGTGTATCATAACATTGCAGGAGCCGCTTTTCTTGGCCTAGTTGGAGGTATATCGGCATTATTTGGTTTCTCGCGGACACTTGGTAAGGCGAAAAAGTCAGAATCAAAACTTCTGGAAAAGGGAGGAACCAAGACCTTAATACTTCTGGACGAAGGTTCGGCATTAGCTATGCGTGCACTTGGTTATGGTACTCTATATGCTGTTTTGGGTACGGGAGCATTTTGTTTTGGTGTTTGGAAATTATCGGGAGCCAAGAATGTAAGTATATAAAGACACAATATTTCGAGGCACATGTAGTGACAGTAGCACTATGGAGGCAAATTATAATTAATTCGGAATAATCGTGGTCCGTTTTATGGAAGTTGAACTATATTTTCAAAATCATTGTTGAGAGATTTCAATAATCCATAAATATATCTATATTTAATTACAGATGGAAGAATTCCGCATGAAAATGGGTAGTGCTCTACCAAAACTGACCAGCGACGAGCCACCCAAAAGCCGCACAGACTTTGAAAGTTTGACTGATTTAATGAAATACTTAGCTGCCTGGGGCAAAGAATAATAAAACACTGTTCCAATGCAATGCAATAATAAAATATAATTAGTTTCTATAGTTTAGTTTTGTAAAAGAGAAGAAGAAAAGAATCATATACGATTACGTATGTAGAAATAAGTTTGTATTGTTTATTTTTTCAAATGCTTGCGTTTTCATTTCTAAAATTCCCTCCTAGTCGTCGTGCATTTTGGAAAATTTGCCAGATTTTCACAAATTCTTTCAGCCATTACTTGATTGAGACGATGTTCACACTGTTCCTCTAAATTTGTAACATAATCCATAATATTGGCATAATCCAACTCTAAAAATACATAAGCTTGTTGTCGAAAATCCATTGATTCTCTGATGAAGTTTTGCAAGCATGGTGCCTTTTCTAAGTATTCCACTTTCTCGGGGGATAATATGGATTTATCTATAATGGGATGTTTTTGTTTGGCCTTCTTCAGATCGCTGTATGTTTGACGTAGTAGAGTTTTCCAATCTTTCATCTCCTGATGTAAACGGGATTCATAGCTGAAATGATATTTTATATTATTTATTTAAAATGAATTAAAAAGGGGTATTTTCAAATTACTTACGCCTTGAATTCTAAACTATGTTGGTCCTCTTCGTCTTCAACTGTAAAAGAGAATAAAAAAATTTAAGGTCGTTTAGAAAATAGTTCAACAAAATATTACCAACGCTGGTCCATTATTCGGTATTTGGTAGCTTTTGATCATGTTTGTCAAGAGGATTGGTTATAATTTAATATAAGGAATCTCATTGAGTAGGAAAACCAATTACTAAAATATCATGTTTTAGAGTAATGGTAGCACCCAATATTCTGTATTTCAGAGCGTTTCGGTAGAAAATCGTCCTACTAAAAATTATCAATATTGATCCACTATTTAGGTGAACCCCATATAATATTAAGTTTCGGTATTAGGGTACGACGATGCAGATTGGCTGTAATTTTATATTTTAGAATCTCACTGATCAGAAAATCTCCTTATAGAAAAAATATCAATATTGGTCCAAGTTTGTGGTAAGCCCCAATATAATAGTAACCTACATTATTCGATATTTTGGGGAGCAAGACCGAATGGGCTGTAATTTAATGTTTCTGGTTCTTATACGGTGTCAAAATGTCCTACCAAAAATTATCAACATATAAGCTTTAAAATTGCTACACCTCGTCACTAGACAATGATGCTCTAGACTTTCTCAAAATCAATATAGGATACAAAAGTCAGATTATATATAAAGGCTTAGGTTATAAATCTGTCGGCAACATCGACTGATTCACTGGTACCATCCACCGAGTCGTCGCAGGAAGGGTTCTGTGAAGACTTACAAATATGTCTGATTTTCGTCTTCTTATGGCATCCATCGCCAGTGTTGTCGTTCGAAAAATATTGGGACCAAAAAGTAGGTATATGGGACCAGTCAGATTTTCGGATAAATATTTAAAATTTATGGGAAATTCTCCTAAATTATTAGCATGAAAATAAACCGAAATGGCTAACAATCGGGCCAAATTAAAAACTTATTTGTTTTTCGAACACTGTCCCTCTTGGTTACAACCGAAACAGCCTTTAGAGTAGACTCTGAAGGTTCCCGTAAAGACTTGCTTATATATCCGACTTTCGTTTTTCTAGTTGCAGCCGATCAGGGAGATTATACGACCATGTGCAAAACAATCAAATTGCAGCCGAAAACTCGACAAGCCGCAACATGTCCACGCCTTTTAAAATGTGGTGCTATTTTCGAAATTTTGGGAACAAAATTAATCTAGCTGTAATCGGGATGAAAAGAGATACATTAGTGTACTGAGTGATGCACTCAAGATTGGATCAATTCCATTAGGACATAGATCAATTTTAGTATCTGTTCACGTACACAAAAGCTGGCAAATCTTTTCAAATTTATAAAATCAAAATATTTTCGTTTAAGAAGCTATTGAAGATTATGAAACAGAAATCTTTACAATTAATTTAATTAATTCAAGATCCCCAAAAGTTCGTTATACTCACAGTTCTCCAATGTCAAATTGAATAAACTTTTTGTTACATTTTGTGTTGCATTGCTGGCAATTGTGGCAATTCTTTCCTCGGGATCTTGTTCAATACTGGTTTCAGCTTCTGTATCAATATTTATTGCAATATTTGAATTATTTGCCATTGTTGAAATAAATATGGACAGTGAAGGTGGTGGATTATACAAAGCAAGTACCGTCAACCTGAAATAAAGCAAGCAGATAACACGTTAATTTATTTACATTGAAATTCCAGTCAGCTTTAAATTTAAATTCCGTAAAATTCTATCTCAAGGTCCGTTCGCGGATCGTTTTGAATACATATATATATATATAACATTTATGTTTTCATTGACCTGAACATCCAAATTTCCGCGGGACCCTTGTATTTCCGTTTTTTTTCTTCTTAATTTCTAAGGTAGTATTAGTATAAATTTATCTCGGTTAAAATCCTGATTACAAAAAAGTAATAATCTTGTCCTTCATTCTCTGTTCGTTGATATTACCATCCATATATGATACATCATACAATTGAACTGGCACAGCTCAGTGGACGAACAACACAAATTAAACATGTACATTCGCTTCCTAAGATCTTCAATGTTAAAGGAACGACTGGAAATCACCAAGAGGCTTCAATTTATACAACTGTCTATTGCTTCTGCGAGCTGTTGCAGAATCATCGGATTGATGCCGTTGCCTATGTGGGTTAGCTTTTAGATACGCTCACATACAGAAATTAAAATATTATTCCAATTCCTTGTATGTTATAATTAATACTTACTGAAATATTATCTAATCTAAATCTCATCGCAATCCAAAATTCAATCAATTGCAACCAATTCGTTTGTTTTGAGTATAGTCAACTTTTGCGCGCCTTATAACCAACCTAATCTAAAAACGTTCCGTTTTGCATGTTGCGAATGGGAAACACAAAAGAGAATGGCGTACCTTATAACCAGCCTTATTTAAAAACGTTCATTTTTTATGCGTTACGTTTTGGGAACAGACCATATATCTCTGTCTGTTAACTCGATATTTGGTAACAATTGTTACCAAATGTTACTAAATGTTGTCTGTTTACACAAAAATCCAGTAAAAGAGAGTCAAGTGAGAGAGCAAGTTTGACAGTTGAACAACAACAAAGTTGCTGGAGTTTACTGAAAGAATTTTATTCAGTAAGATTTTGCAACTCAACCATTTTCGGATCAGCTGTTTTCTGACCAAACACAAAAATTATTTAAAACATTTTTTTAATTTGCAAAGTAAGTAAGTAATTTTTTTTATTGAGTCTTCTTCTTATTTCGATAACATGGTTAATGTAAAGTAAAATGATGACATGATAATTTAGAACTATATTTGTCTTATTCTAATCCAATAATTAAATGCATTGATGCTACATGCTTAAAATGAATATACAAATATGCGTACGTGCAAAATGAATGAAGAGCAAGGCTTGCTCACGGCCTTAACATTTTTTAACAGAGCGTGTGTGTCTGTCGATAATAAATCACTTAAAAATACATAACAATTAAAAAGAGATAACAAGAAACTGTTAATATCTTTATCAAACAGCGAGTATGTTAGATGAACATATGGTTAAAAAAGTATGTATGTGTAAATATCACAGATGGTGTTTAGAAAATATATGTCAAAACAAAACACATAATTTAAAACGAAAGAGCATAACTCAAAAATTGAATTTATAAATATAATGTTTAGCCTCTGTGGGCTCTTTGTGTTCTTTGTGTTGGCTTATATAAATCAGGTACATCACAATTGTCTGGATCAATGTCGAGGCTTTCGTTGATAATGCCAATGGCAGATAAATATGTCGAATTTGACCAAGATACGTGTTTTTCCGTTTCATATATAGAGTTGATAATACGATTTTCGTGTGACTCTAGCCCATCTACGAACTTCTTTAAAAGATAGAAAGGTTGGATTCCAGCTTTACCATAAATGTGAGAGTTTGAAAACTTCTTTGTCGGGTTTTCGTAATGTTTATTTATACATTTACGTAGAATATAACGTTCAAATATCTCCACTTCTTTGGCCAACTTAATTTGCAAAGTTCAATTTGAAGTAAATTACTGAAAATGGTAGAAAATTCGTAAGTAATGCAAAGTTTCATTAAATTAGAAACTAATTCCTTATATATTTTTAGGCAAGTTCCATATAGAGGGCAATGTATTGATGCAGGGAGCTTAAATTTTCCCGGGGGAAAATACCAGATCAATTTTTCTTTTTTGTTGTTTATTTTGGTGCAAATCAAATGTTTTCTTGGATCACCTGTTTATTTGCTAAATCTTACTAAATGTTGTCTGTTTACTTTTTTCAGTATTATCGCAAAAGAGAGTAAGAAAGGCTTACTTTCTGAACTAGAACTTACTGAATAAATGTTACTGGGAAAGTAACCAGACACACCTTATGTTTACGAATGAAATTGAAGCAAAACACCATCATGTTTAGAAACAAAGGCATTAAATGATCACCATTAACTGATATATTTCAAGAATGAAACGTTTTGAAATTATCTTTCGATTTTTCGGACCCAGTAAACGAAAAATTTTGAAAAGCTGGATTATTGATTTCAAACAAAATTAAGGGCTGAGAATCGATGCGCATATACCAGGAAGACATCCCAGAAAAGGTCTTGAAGTCATCTTTCCAATTAAGAATTTACATATATCCTATATCTTTTCAGATTCGAGAGATATAAAATTTTATAAAAATCCAGTACATTTCCTATTTAGGGTCACTTTTAATAAACCACCGTAATGAAACGGTTCGCAGTACATGTACCAGGAAGACATCGCTGGTAAGGTATTGAAGACCTATTTCCAGTAAAGAAATAAGAAATATGCTAAATTTTACCAGATTTTAACTATTGGTCTGTTCCAAAACCTATGTAAAATTGTAAAATTGTTTACAACAATAAAAATTTTTCCTTTTTGATATCGAAGAAAATAGTAAAATGTTTTAAGGGCTAAACAG